GAGAGTAATGCATCATCCAAAATATTACTGATGTAAGCTGAATCCAATAAGTACGCCAATCGACGATGTCGATGCGTGCATTGTCATGGCTCGAGATGGCACAACGATGTCCGTGATCGAGATTGGAGGGCGTGTATTACTAGACGCCGTTGTCATCTAATTCCGGTGCCACTCCGGTATATAGACCGCAAGAATTTTACTGTCAAATACAGCTGCTTTGCACATTCGGGCCAACACTTGTCGCCCCTATTATTCTACCGTGCGCACCATCGCAAATGCTGAATTATGTGCGCCCACAAGTTATATTATCACAGGTGCAGAACGTCGTACATAACTGAATTACACTTGTACACAGATCTTCATTAAGATCAGGCATGACTGATAATCTGCAACAATCCCAGCCTGCAGGGCAAGTTCGTGGTTTACTGGAACTGTGGAAGTGTTTTGGTGAATTTGAGGAAGCTGACATTCATGTCTGGGTTTTTCCTTTTCGGCTGCCAGTCTGTTTACGGGCAGCTTGGCCGGCTGCTAAAGCGTGGCTTACTGCGAGTGAGTCAACTGAAGTGGCTCAAGCAAGTGTCGTTGCAGCCGCAAACGTGTTGTGGTGCTTTGTGGTGGCGTCGACCACCCACTTAATCTAGGTCGAACGCCTATTTCAGATGCAGGACCCGACTTTACTGTCATAAGACCAACAAGCCCGCACCGTGTCCTCTTTAAGAAGCGCTCTTGCGCACTTCCGACGCTCGACTGTCCCCCCTCCATGCGGACGATGCTGAGAATGCCCAGGATCGTGTACGAGCTGCACTTACAGACTCTCTTTTGCACCGGATCGTGCCTTCGCCTTTTCGGGATGTACCTGCAGATAGGTCGGGGCTTCCAGATTTCTTTATTTGCTCTTTTTCGCCGATGAATCCGTGGTAATATGGGACCGGGTGGCGCTGATTCTGTTATCACTCGTGTGCATTTCCCAACGCGTGCGGCGGAAATACTATAGATTGCTAACCTAGCGATGGGCGCTCCTCACCTGACGACCGTTGAAACAGCGTATACATGTCTCATTTGTGGCCCCCAGTGCACAATAGGAGGCGGTTTGGTTTCTTTTCACATCGTCGGTGCCGATGAAATGGTGGTCACCCAGCTTCGGATGCGCCAATCCCCGATAAGGCCCCAGTTCTTGGCACTATATCGAGAGGCAAGTTCAATCTCATCCGACGTTGATGTTGTTAGTTGGGCTCACCACTGTCGCGATTACAATCAAATGGCAACCACAGCAGCGACAGTTGCCATGGACACTGGAAAATCGACTAATTGGTTTAACTCCGACTCGAGTAGTCTCTGCTGCTCGGTACATGACGGTCTCCATCAGGACGTCACCTTCTGGTAAAAAAATCACGCTTCGTGGAGGAGAACACGGTACAGCCCGAAACCCTCTGACTCGCGCTTCCCGGATACCTTTCTCGCCTGTTGCAACGGACGAACCTTGCCGCGCAGAGCATAACAAGTTTCTAACTCAAGCTAAGGCAACCAATTTTTGTAGGCTGTCATTGATCGGATACTCTAGGTCGGCAATCGTACCTCAATACACCTCACCTGCCAAAAAATAAATCATCAGAAGAATCTGCCACAATCATCGTGTATGATTCTTGCCTCCGAGTCGACTGAAACGTGTACGTGCCATAGAAAGCAGTCGATATCTGGGTACGTTATTATCACTGCTAGCGCAAATCCTATTGTATACTGGTAGGCGACACAGGCGAAGCAGTTTCACCATCTTTGCAAAGCCCTTTTGTCGATGAACTGGACAACCTTGGGTATATTGTACAAATGGACACACGTACTTGGGGAGGGAATGACATGACAATGTCTCCTCATCGGTCACATTGATCCTTCTTCTTGTCTTGATGTGACACATCGCTCTTCAAACACATTCGTATGTCACCTATAAGGCATTGGGTGCTGCGCACGTAAATTGACAATGCTTGAAGTGCCATGCAATAAGGTTGTGTGCATTCTTACACAAAAGTGATCAAACTGTTCTTTAGATCGTAAACACTGCTGACCAAAGTCGATTTGCTTAAGGTCATATTTACTTTTGGATGATCCGATTGCAATGCTTCAGATGAGTCTAATATTCCAACTTCTCGGAAAGGAGCCTTTGCCAGACTGAGTGCACGTCATCTCGGTAAGTTCTATGCCCCAAAGCTTCTCGGAAAGGAGCCTTTGCCAGACTGAGTGCATGTCATCTCGGTAAGTTCTATGCTCCAAAGCGAGCATACATTTGCTTACGTGGCACTGAGAAAAGTTTGCTACGCTATACGCGACGCGTTGCCGACGACATACTTTAGGTTATACAGTACCTCCAAGAAGGTACTGGATGACATAAACTGGGTGCATCCGAATCGCAGTATCCACCATATTACATTTTCACTGCGACCGTCAATCTGGAGCATCTGTGAAAGTAGTTTTGTCATCATGCATTACTTTGCTTTCCACGGCCGTACCGACGTTTACTTGGAAGCTCCTTGACAACTTTTCCTGAGACCTTATGATTATAACGTGATTGTCGACTTTGCACTACATCGGTCCGACAAGCATGTGCCCAACATTTGTGGATAGCTGCAAATAAAATCGCAAGGCTATGTTAGCGAGTCCAGTGTCTTATTACCACGAGGCTGGTCTTATGGCTTAAGATGACGCATGCGATTACAGATACTTACTAAGCAAAAGAAACAGTCGGCAATGCGCCCTCTAACTTTGCTGGACAAAACGATAAGCTGATTCGCAAGCGGTATTGATGTGCGAGAAGGCTGTCTTTGTCCGTCCATACCACCGCCGAAAAAGAGTATGTCAAGGTGCGTAAGTAGTCAAACAACGCAATGTTCAAAATGTAGTTGTCGTTTGGTGTTTAAGCGCTGATGTCAAAACTACACCAACAGGATGGTACTAAAAATCTTGCACACATACATCCCCGAAGCAACCGTGGGTAGCCGGTGTCGCACTATCTACAACGCCACTGACTCCTCAATGGGACTCGTCTCAACTGACTCCTGGATGGGACTCGTCTCAACTGACTCCTGAACAGGACTCATCTCAACTAACTTCTCGATGGGACTCGTCTCAACTGACTCCTGGATAGGACTCATCTCAACTGACTCCTGGATGGGACCCGTCTCAACTGACTCCTGGATAGGACTCGTCTGATCGGAACTATCGTCGTCGAAAGCACCAACACCAAAATTACCAGACGCAACTGCAAGTTTCGCCGCTGTGCGCACCTTAATCGCACGGAGATGCATCTTCAAGTTGCTGATCTTAGTCTCCACGGCGTCTCCTGAAATGCTGGAGAGCGTCCCGCTTTTTGTAAGCACGTTCGGCACGCAACTGCGGCCGAGTTTAGCCTTACAGTCGACACCGGCATTCGGCGCCAAAAAGCTTCCTTTTGTGCTTTGTGCGATCGGTGTTTTGACAGAGTCAAAGTAGTTGCCTTCCGCCAGGACGAATGCACCCGTAGTTGTATCGAAGGCGTGGTCTGAGTTGTCTTCGAAGTAGTTGTTGGCGGCATGAAGGAAAACAGCATCTGTTTCACTGCCTCCAACCTTCGGTGAGCGCCCTGAAATCTGATGCAGATAGTTTCCCAACAGACTCATCTCCGTGTGTTTACCCAGAAACAAGAAGCCCCAGTAGTGCCGCCCGTCACAAGACGTAGAGTACTTGGTGCGACCATCAAAGTCGGAGTTGCTGATCGTGACACCTGTCGCGCCAGAAAAGTTTATCACGATCATCTGACGTCCGATGTTTGACACCTTAATGTGGTCGAGCCAAATACCCTTCGGAGCGACATCCGTTGAGGCTCCTCGGATTGTGATGGCATCACCGCCCCATATGACGTGCGGGTTCAAGTTCGTAATGTGGATATTCTGAATGATGACATTGCTGCCACTAATGATGAGACCCTTGCCGTTCAGCACACCTTTCATGCCATCGCCCACTAGCGTCTTGTTGCTACCAACAAGAAGTGGGGTGTTCGCTGCGTTATCGTACGTGACGCTCACTTTTGAGCCATCACACTTGCTAAAGCTTGGCTGAATGGCGTCTTGCCCCCGGAAGCCGCTCTTCTTCGCAATACAGTTGAGGTTGTGCATCGGGCGGCAACCCTCCTCCGTCGTGGACCCCTCGGTCTTGACAAAGTTGAACGCTTGTTTGAGAACAATAACTCGCGGCTGCTCATCACTCAGGAAGGTTTTGAGATCCCTGATGCTGGTCGGATACACAGGTGCAGCATTGCCTCCTCCCGTTGTGCCGAAAGCAAATCCGCGCGGCGTACCAGTGACCACAGAAGCAGCATGGGTGAGACAGCATTGCAGCGACGCGAGAGCAAACACCAGAGAGATGACGATGCGTGCTGGTAGAGCATGAGACAGCATATCCTCGGAGTGGTTGTAGACACTTGAGAGGACGAGAGGAAGTTTGCAAATGAGGTATGGAGAGATTGCATCTGCGTCGTTAGCTCGCTGCTTCTTTCCTACACCCCAGCCATGGAATTTGTTGACAGTACAGTTGGCATGTACAGGGGGGGGCGAATTAGCTTAAGAGTAAATTTATATCTGTATTATGCCATATATAGAAGGTCAGAGGTGCGGAGATGAAAAAGCTTTCATTGACTGGATTCAGCGCTAAAGCCTTTGGGATGTGTTGAACATCTCCAGCTGGAAGTTCACCAATGCCCGAATCTATCTCTGGAGCACCAAGTGTTGCTGACTCGTCTAGCTGAACCTGGTGTGGCGACACCTGCACCCGATATTCTACCGAAGCTAGTGTTCCAGCTCAAGCCAGCTGTAACTTCCTGAATGCAACTCTTATTAATCATGAAGTGATTCCAGTCAACGTGGTGGCGAACATCATCGTACGACTTGACTCGGTGTTGGCTCGCGCTTATCCTGGCCATCATCTTCGGCCTCGTGCTCGTCAACGCCCACTACACAACGTACAAAGGGCTGAACTCAGCCGTGGAGATGACAACACCTTATCAAGGATACGTGACGTACGTCGCTTGTCTGCCCTTCACCCTGCGGTAACGAGCCGTCTGCTACCGCGAGTGCGACGTGCAGACGTACAACACTTTTGGGTACTTCCTCAGCATCGCGTTCATCAAAATCCCCTACGTTTTTGGCAGCAGTCTTCTCTTTACCATTATCTTCTTCCCTCTTCTCGGCATCTGGTCCTTCAGCACGGCTGTGCTCAACTGGCTCAACATCTCCCTCTCCGTGCTCATGCAGACGCTCCTGGGCCAGATGCTCGTGCACTGCTGTCCAGTGGTGAAGTCGTTGCCGTTGTGGGCGGCTGGCTATTCGGCTGGAGTCGACAGCAGACACTTGTATCTGCTGGTCGGTATTTCTAAGTGTAAACGGGAATGTTGTCTTGTACAGCATGCTTTAGGTCAGCGCGCGCACTGCACGTACCATTTGTCGGCATTTTGAACCATTGGACGATAACAAATGAATGTGGTGTGGTCAGCCACACTATACGAGTCATATAAAGCTCGTGGAAACGGTGACATGCAGGGAACTAATTTCAGTCAAAGGAAGCTCTTTTAATCTCGTACCTCTGATCTTTTATATATAGCATAATACAGATCAATTTTAGCTATTTAGCTAATTGGCTGTTCGTAAAATCGTTTGATGGCGTTTGTAGTGCGGAATAGCAACATTCAAAGTACAGAAAAGCCTCGCCCTGATAAGTAGTGCGCCTATCCCATGAGTAATACCAGTCGTGTAAATTACTAATGTGCGACTATCTGATGGGTAATGTGTACGGAGTAGATTACTTATGCGCGACTATTCAACGGGTAATGCGCGTAGTGTCGATTTTTGTTGTATAGTCAGAGAATTTATTAGGCTTAGAGTAGCAAGAAAAAGTCGCGAACTAAGGGTCTATTTACATTAACCTTGCATTTTTCATTTACCTCGACAAGCACCTCATTAACAGAAAAGACCTTCGACAACAGATTGAGAAAACATCCGGCCAGTTGCGGCGGAAGAATTGAGGTTACGCAGGCGCCTGTTCATTATGTGTTTTGCGTTTGTGAAAGAAAGAAAAAAGCACTTCATCTTCTATTGATTGTAGGTAACGGAGCTTTACGGCGGTTACTAAACCAGTTTTGTAGTGTGTTCACACCAAGTAAAGATCGGTGGATCTGAGTGGTACATACTGGTACCACATGCTTACAATAATACCGCACCTTGTCGGGTAGGGATAAAGGATACGACTCCTGTCATAGGTACGCAATGTATAAGTCAGCCGGATAAAGTTTTATGGTTTAGCTACCGTAGCAAGAGAATAAATAACGTCCAACTACCCTTCTGAATCGTTGGACGCTAGTGCCAAGTCAAGGCACAGTGTGTTGTCTGGAGCATTAGCCTTGTACAGGCGTTTAAGCTTGTTCAACTAGTAGTGCCTGGTCAGTGTGTGATTCTGTGAATCGTACTCTTTGAAACCGGAATTGTTAAGCTTGTAAACTTGAACGACTGTACGTCGTCGTTAGTTTTTATAACTAAGAGACTCTATCAGCCCACTAAACCTCTGTTATGGAGCACTGTAACGGGGTGAATCGTTACACAGCAATTTATAATAAACTGTTAGTAGAATATAACTAGAAGAGTTATATTCACAGAATGTTGTCATAAGGACAAATATTCTGCAGCACTTACAAGTAGTTTCTAAATGGTTGATATAGGTCATTATATCAACCAACGAAGACGCGCCACGACAGACGCACGCAATGAGTGGTGAGCAGATAACTGATTTACACATTTGTATTTAGACATAGTTAGATGAAGATAAATAGTGATTTATTGCAGACATTAACTATTATAAATACAGTTCTACTTTTTACTCTAACTAAGTACTCGCTTCTTCTTACCGTCTTCCTCTGCACGTACGAGTGTAGGTGAAGTTCCGAGGCACCCCCTTATTCTGTCATCAGAATAAGTAGCTTGTACTGTCACCAGTACAAGCTTCAGGGTGCCCCGTTACATCTGGTAGCACTTTGTTGTCCATCCAAGGACCACGTTCACATCCAACATGAATGTGTTGGATGATGAAGATGACCAAAGCTTTCACGCTACGCGTGACGGCTACCTTCAATTGAGCGATGTCGAATGGGATGCGGTTGAACGGATGTGTTAAACCATGGACATCAATGCTGTTAGCGTCATGCTAGAGGCTCTCTATAGAGATGCCCAACATGCTACTATCGCCAAGTTCATTCAACTTGACGCAGAACGCGAGAAAGTAGCCTTGCTTCACCAACAAGGTTCTCAACAAGCGGAGTTGTTGAGAGAACAGGGTGATCAACAGTTTGAACTGTTGAGACAGCAGCAGGCTGCTGCTGGCGGGTCGATGCACTCGCGCCGACCCGAGACTTTAAAGATTGACATCTCCAAGTATAGGGGAGTCGAAGAGGACTCCCTCTTGAGATGGTTCGTCGAATTGGATGACACCATAAGGGCGCGTCGCATCGACGACGGGGATGTGCAAGTTGCATTTGCCCAGTCAAATCTGGCAGGACGTGTCAAGACTTGGGCACTGGGGCTCAAGTTGCACGACCCATATGCGTTTGGGTCGTTGGAAGTCTTCAAGTCGCGACTCAGACAAACGTTTGAACCGCCTAGAGCTGAGTTCAGAGCTCGAACCGAACTCTTGAAGCTCAAGCAGGGTAAGCGTGATGTGCACGCTTACGCGCAACATATACGAAATCTTACGAGTTGTATAAGTTCCAATCCGGTGGATGAACACACGTTGGTTTCGGTGTTCATGCAGGGTCTTGCAGATGGTCCCGTCAAGACTCACCTGTTCCGACTTGAACTGGATTCATTAGAACAAGCCATTTCCATTGCGGAACAGGAAGACTCCAGTCTGAGACAGGCTCGCGCCAGCTCGACATCATATCGTCAACCGAGACGATATGACAGCGGAGGTCCAGAGCCGATGGAACTCTGTTATGTAGAGAGCGAGAAGGCTCGCTCTACAGGCTACAAGAAGTTGCAGAAATGCAACAGATGTCAAAAGACAGGACACTACGCTTACGAGTGTAGTGCCCCTCGTCCAGTGTCTCGCAACACTGGGCGTAGCGACCGTCCGCCCATGAGAAAGGGGCAGGGACGCGGGTCCGCTGTTGGTGCAAAGACGCAACAACGTGATGGACCGTCAAAAAACAGACAGGATCAGTAGGTGCGGAGCACCCTACTGGTCCAGCAACGTCAAGAGAATTTGTAGGCCTCTTGATGAAGGTTGCTCCCACACACAAAACGTTGTGCGTTGCTGCTCTAGGTAATGAGATCTCACTCATTACCTTGAAACTCGAAGTGACGAATAAGTTGTCCCTTCGAGCTCTAGTCGATTGTGGAGCGTCCAACAATTTTGTGCAACGCCAATCGCTAGAAGATGGTCACTTTAATTTCAGTGAATGTGACACACCTCCTACGAGGATGACGGTACGTCTTGCGACAGGCGCATCCGTAGCCGTCATGAAGCGTATAGTGAAGATCCACTATACTTTAGAAGATACCCAATATGACGATGACTTTATCGTATTGGATTTGGATGACAAATTTGATGTCATACTTGGAATACCGTGGCTCAGAAGGTACGAACCACGAGTAAACTGGCAACATCGAACAGTAACGATGCCTGCCGCTTGTTCATCAGATGGCCATCTGATGAACGTTTTGGAGCGTCCACAAGCGTGTGGATGTACTACGAGTGAGTGCGATGGCCTCACTTGTGGTACGGTCGTTAGTACGACTGCACAAAACCTTAGTGTACCAAACGGTTACACTTCGGAGCAAAGTTCCGGCGGCTGTGAGGAAACACAGGCTGCGCCGAAGGTTCACCACTCGAATAAGTCGAGTGGACCGGGACAAAGATGTATCCCTAGCGGGGAACATCTAGAAGAGAAACAATCGATCGCTCAGGTTAAGCGAAACGATAATCCTAGATCGACTGGAGAGTCTTTCGTAGAGGATCTCGCTGTGGTTGCGCAACCCCAGCTAGAGGAAGTTGAGGGAATAAGTCCCAAGATTACATATACGGCGGAAATAAGTTCCCCAAAACCCGCGGGAATAAGTCCCCGGGAAGACGAAGGAATAAGTCCTTCGAAGCCTGAGGGAATAAGTCCCCAGGAAATGACAGAGACATTGAATGTCATAGTCAATAACGGATCATGTGTAGGCGCTTATACACTTGGTCTGATTGCGCCTCCGAAGTTAACTTCGGAGATCACTCAGTTGCCAACGCTCGAACATAAAAGGTTCTTGTGTGATTTGCGTAGTGGCAAAGTCAAGCAGATCTGCATACTCGTCGCTGACGACGAGTGTGTAACCGACATAAGGTCAGCAACAGTGTTTACTAAGAACGAGAGTGTTCTCAGTAGTTCATCTATGGACGAGAGTGTCCTAGATGAAAAGACACGAATTGAGCGATATGACTCCAAATCATGGGAATCGCTCAAGAAAAATCCTCTCTATGAAGATTTGGTTGAATTCAAGGCTGTATTCCCTGAAACTGTTCCGTGCGAATTACCGAAGGATAAAGGTATTCGACACGAAGTCGAGCTTAAACCAGGCTCGAAGTACTGTGTCATGAAGCAGTGGCCACTGCCTCGTGAACAAGTACTTGCGATCGACAAGTTCTTTGCCGATCGTTTAGCTGCGGGCCATATGATGGAATCAACTTCCCCACATAGCTCTCCGACCTTCTGTGTGCTAAAATCAACAGGAGGGTGGCGGATAGTGCACGCGTTCAACAAATTGAACGCTGCAACGGTACCGGCTCAGACGCCGATACCGAGGAAGGACGTAATCATTGATGGTATGTCCAAGAGTACCATCTTTTCGTCCATGGATTTGATGGATGGCTTCTATCAAATCCTTATGCGGGAACGGGATATACCCTATACCGCAGTTAGCACGCCTAGCGGCATGCTCTGGGAATGGCTAGTAATGCCACAAGGGCTTAGTAATGCCCCTGCCACGTTCAACAGATGTGTATCACATCTGTTGAGGCCAGTGCAAGAATTCGCACCGAGTTATTTCGATGACGTATTCATTCATAGTCGGGCTATGGATGAAAAGTCGGATGTTGAGGTTCACAGATACCACATCCGACAGGTTCTTACAATCATGCGAAAGCATCAATTGTATGCTAACCTCAAGAAGTGTATATTTGCAGCAAGCGAAATACCACTTCTTGGGTGCATCGTTGGTAAGAACGGTGTACGTCCTGATCCCGAACAGATTAAGGCGATCACCGACTGGCCTGTGCCGGTTGATGTCAAAGGTCTTCGAAAATTCCTTGGGCTAGCGGCGTATTTGCATAAGTATTCACGCAATTACGCCGAGATGACTGTGCACCTCTCTCGTTTGTTGAAAAA